TCGCGTTGCCATTTATTGTTAATTGTCAAAATTCGACTGTGTTCCACTCCATGGTGGGCCAACAGCGCCAAACAAACTGCATATGTTAACATAAAGAAGGCTTTAGGCCTCCGTCCTCTTTCAGTCTGCTAGCCAGGGATCTTATTCATTGTTTGTATCTTTAAAATTTCTAAAACAACAATAAGATTGGTATTTAGGAGGAATGCCGAATATTAGAACATCAGCGTATTAGGAGCTCTAGTGAGGTCAAGTATTTTAAACCTAGATAAGCACAACGACGGTCGAGCAGGCTATCTGAAATATCCCTGTGAGGTATTAAACTGGACATATATAGTACCCAATAACGTTTTTTTTTTTTTTTAAACCATCTGTCCCTGTGATGGCTCTGTACCACAAACACAAACAACGTTAACTGGTACAGAAAAGAGCATGAATCATCAGTGCAGCACCCAATCCCGCTATATACCAAAGAACATGTAAAAAAAGCCCAGAGCGGGAGAGGGATGAAAAGTGAAAAAGAAGCGGACGAGGAAAGAAGAACGAGGAAGTCAATGTTATTCAACAAAAAATCAAATTTTCTGCGCACCCTGAGAGGGGGCAGAAGTTCTTGGGATCAATAAAATACCCAAAAAAACCTTAAGTTTCGTTCCTAAACAAATGTATACACTTCTGGGTGCCGATTTAGACTCCAACAGATTCAATCTGTAGTTTCTCGCCCTCATTAGGGCCAATTTCATACGATTTAACGATTTTTGCGTTTCTTCAAATCCAGCGGAGCCTGTTCCCGGCTTTCAAATATCTACGCTGTATTAGTTATGTTGTTATAAAATCGAATCGCCCTGAGCATACCTTAGCATCGATATCGCCAACATCGATTCCGCCTCGTTCGTAAAAAAGGATGATGTCGTGTTCGCGTCGACTGTAGATTGCAATGTACATTTCATCGGCATCCGAATGCTCACAGAATGGCTCCACAATGAAATTATGCAAGCGGCCAGTTGCTTTGCCAATCTTCAAAAAAAACACCGTTGATGCTACTGCACGGGGTTTATTCGTTGCATGTAACAAGACTTGGTAGGTCATGGTTTTCACTAGTCGATGCTTGGTACT